CCAGGTTGTCCTGGTGTAGCATCATACCCGACCAATGGTTTTGCTGTTATGATGCAGCGTCATACCCGAACCATGACCTGGCTGCCCTGGTGTAGCATCATACCCGACCCATGGTTTTGCTGCTTTGATGCAGCGTCATACCCGAACCATGACATGGTTGTCCTGGTGTAGCATCAAACCCGACCGATGGTCTGGCTGTCCTGGTGTAGCATCATACCCGACCAATGGTCTGACTGCCCTAGCGTAGCATCATACCCGAACCATGGCCAGGCTGCCCTCGTGTAGCGTCATATTCGACCTATGGTCTTTTAGTCCTGATGTAGTGTTATGTCCGAACCATACCGGAGAAGATCCGGGTTCTTTTCGGTCTTCAGCAACCCATGCTTGCCGTAAAAGGCGACTATGCTTGTCGTAAGTATGTCATACTGCTGGAATATTGCTGAGTGCGACGTTAAACAACAAACAAACAAATCATATTCGAGCTATGGCCTGGTTGTCCTTGTATGGCATCATATCTGAGATATGGCCTGGTTGTCCTGGTGTAGCATCATACCCGAGCTATGGCCTAGTTGTCTTGGTGTAGCATCATACCTGAGCTATGGCATGGTTGTCATGGTGTAGCATCATACCCGAGCTATGGCCTAGTTGTCCTGGTGTAGCATCATACCTGAGCTATGGCCTGGTTGTCCTGGTGTAGCATCATACCTGAGCTATGGCCTAGTTGTCCTGGTGTAGCATCATACCTGAGCTATGGCCTGGTTGTCCTGGTGTAGCATCATACCTGAGCTATGGCCTAGTTGTCCTGGTGTAGCTTCATACCCGAGCTATGGCCTGGTTGTCATGGTGTAGCATCATACCTGAGCTATGGCCTGGTTGTCCTGGTGTAGCATCATACCTGAGCTATGACCTGGTTGTCCTGGTGTAGCATCATACCTGAGCTATGGCCTGGTTGTCCTGGTGTAGCATCATACCTGAGCTATGACCTGGTTGTCCTGGTGTAGCATCATACCTGAGCTATGGCCTAGTTGTCCTGGTGTAGCATCATACCTGAGCTATGGCCTAGTTGTCCTGGTGTAGCATCATACCTGAGCTATGGCCTAGTTGTCCTGGTGTAGCTTCATACCCGAGCTATGGCCTGGTTGGCATGGTGTAGCATCATACCTGAGCTATGGCCTGGTTGTCCTGGTGTAGCATCATACCTGAGCTATGGCCTAGTTGTCCTGGTGTAGCATCATACCCGAGCTATGGCCTAGTTGTCCTGATGTAGCATTATACCTGAGCTATGGCCTAGTTGTCCTGGTGTAGCTTCATACCCGAGCTATGGCCTGGTTGTCATGGTGTAGCATCATACCTGAGCTATGGCCTAGTTGTCCTGGTGTAGCATCATACCTGAGCTATGACCTGGTTGTCGGGGTGTAGCAACATACCTGAGCTATGGCCTGGTTGTCCTGGTGTAGCATCATACCTGAGCTATGACCTGGTTGTCTTGGTGTAGCATCATACCCGAGCTATGGCCTGGTTGTCCTTGTGTAGCATCATACCTGAGCTATGGCCTGGTTGTCCTGGTGTAGCATCATACCCGAGCTATGACCTGGTTGTCCTGGTGTAGCATCATATCTGAGCTATGGCCTGGTTGTCCTGGTGTAGCATCATACCCAAGCTATGGCCTAGTTGTCTTGGTGTAGCATCATACCTGAGCTATGGCCTGGTTGTCCTGATGTAGCTTCATACCCGAGCTATGGTCTGGTTGTCCTGGTGTAGCATCATACCTGAGCTATGGCCTGGTTGTCCTGGTGTAGCATCATACCCGAGCTATGGCCTAGTTGTCTTGGTGTAGCATCATACCTGAGCTATGGCCTAGTTGTCCTGGTGTAGCATCATACCTGAGCTATGACCTGGTTGTCCTGGTGTAGCATCATACCTGAGCTATGGCCTGGTTGTCCTGGTGTAGCATCATACCTGAGCTATGACCTGGTTGTCCTGGTGTAGCATCATACCTGAGCTATGGCCTAGTTGTCCTGGTGTAGCATCATACCTGAGCTATGGCCTAGTTGTCCTGGTGTAGCTTCATACCCGAGCTATGGCCTAGTTGTCATGGTGTAGCATCATACCTGAGCTATGGCCTGGTTGTCCTGGTGTAGCATCATACCTGAGCTGTGGCCTAGTTGTCCTGGTGTAGCAACATACCTGAGCTATGGCCTAGTTGTCTTGGTGTAGCAACATACCTGAGCTATGTCCTGGTTGTCCTGGTGTAGCAACATACCTGAGCTATGGCCTAGTTGTCTTGGTGTAGCAACATACCTGAGCTATGGCCTAGTTGTCTTGGTGTAGCATCATACCTGAGCTATGGCATGGTTGTCATGGTGTAGCATCATACCTGAGCTATGGCCTAGTTGTCCTGGTGTAGCATCATACCTGAGCTATGGCCTGGTTGTCCTGGTGTAGCATCATACCTGAGCTATGGCCTAGTTGTCCTGGTGTAGCATCATACCTGAGCTATGGCCTGGTTGTCCTGGTGTAGCATCATACCTGAGCTATGGCCTAGTTGTCCTGGTGTAGCTTCATACCCGAGCTATGGCCTGGTTGTCCTGGTGTAGCATCATACCTGAGCTATGGCCTAGTTATCCTGGTGTAGCATCATACCCAAGCTATGGCCTAGTTGTCTTGGTGTAGCATCATACCTGAGCTATGGCCTGGTTGTCCTGATGTAGCTTCATACCCGAGCTATGGTCTGGTTGTCCTGGTGTAGCATCATACCTGAGCTATGGCCTGGTTGTCCTGGTGTAGCATCATACCCGAGCTATGGCCTAGTTGTCTTGGTGTAGCATCATACCTGAGCTATGGCCTAGTTGTCCTGGTGTAGCATCATACCTGAGCTATGACCTGGTTGTCCTGGTGTAGCATCATACCTGAGCTATGGCCTGGTTGTCCTGGTGTAGCATCATACCTGAGCTATGACCTGGTTGTCCTGGTGTAGCATCATACCTGAGCTATGGCCTAGTTGTCCTGGTGTAGCATCATACCTGAGCTATGGCCTAGTTGTCCTGGTGTAGCTTCATACCCGAGCTATGGCCTAGTTGTCATGGTGTAGCATCATACCTGAGCTATGGCCTGGTTGTCCTGGTGTAGCATCATACCTGAGCTGTGGCCTAGTTGTCCTGGTGTAGCAACATACCTGAGCTATGGCCTAGTTGTCTTGGTGTAGCAACATACCTGAGCTATGTCCTGGTTGTCCTGGTGTAGCAACATACCTGAGCTATGGCCTAGTTGTCTTGGTGTAGCAACATACCTGAGCTATGGCCTAGTTGTCTTGGTGTAGCATCATACCTGAGCTATGGCATGGTTGTCATGGTGTAGCATCATACCTGAGCTATGGCCTAGTTGTCCTGGTGTAGCATCATACCTGAGCTATGGCCTGGTTGTCCTGGTGTAGCATCATACCTGAGCTATGGCCTAGTTGTCCTGGTGTAGCATCATACCTGAGCTATGGCCTGGTTGTCCTGGTGTAGCATCATACCTGAGCTATGGCCTAGTTGTCCTGGTGTAGCTTCATACCCGAGCTATGGCCTGGTTGTCCTGGTGTAGCATCATACCTGAGCTATGGCCTAGTTATCCTGGTGTAGCATCATACCTGAGCTATGACCTGGTTGTCCTGGTGTAGCAACATACCTGAGCTATGGCCTGGTTGTCCTGGTGTAGCATCATACCTGAGCTATGACCTGGTTGTCCTGGTGTAGCATCATACCTGAGCTATGGCCTAGTTGTCCTGGTGTAGCATCATACCTGAGCTATGACCTGGTTGTCCTGGTGTAGCATCATACCTGAGCTATGGCCTAGTTGTCCTGGTGTAGCTTCATACCCGAGCTATGGCCTAGTTGTCCTGGTGTAGCATCATACCTGAGCTATGGCCTGGTTGTCCTGGTGTAGCATCATACCTGAGCTATGGCCTAGTTGTCCTGGTGTAGCATCATACCTGAGCTATGGCCTAATTGTCCTGGTGTAGCATCATACCTGAGTTATGGCCTAGTTGTCCTGGTGTAGCATCATACCCGAGCTGTGGCCTAGTTGTCCTGGTGTAGCATCATACCTGAGCTATGGCCTAGTTGTCTTGGTGTAGCAACATACCTGAGCTATGGCCTGGTTGTCCTGGTGTAGCATCATACCTGAGCTATGGCCTAGTTGTCTTGGTGTAGCATCATTCCCGAGCCATGGCCTGGTTGTCCTTGTGTAGCATCATACCCGAGCTGTGGCCTGGTTGTCCTGGTGTAGCATCATACCTGAGCTATGACCCGGTTGTCCTGGTGTAGCTTCATACCCGAGCTATGGCCTGGTTGTCCTGGTGTAGTATCATACCTGAGCTATGACCTGGTTGTCCTGGTGTAGCATCATACCTGAGCTATGACGCGGTTGTCCTGGTGGAGCATCATACCTGAGCTATGGCCTAGTTGTCCTGGTGTAGCATCATACCTGAGCTATGACCTGGTTGTCCTGGTGTAGCATCATACCTGAGCTATGACCCGGTTGTCCTGGTGGAGCATCATACCTGTGGAATTCATGACATTATGTGAAGCAGGTTGCCTCTACATAAGTTCGTAGGATAAAGGTCATCTTTCATAACATCATGGTTCTAATAAGTCTTGCAAAGGAGAATTTAAAGCTGTTCAAAAACAGTTGCGCGACAAAAAAAAAGCGAACGGTCGCTTGCCTCGGGAAGATGCACAAGCTCACAATAATATCTCTAAATATTAGAGTGAGATTTCCAGACATTTTACTGTCACGCTATCTGTCAATGAATTATCTGCATCTTGCCAAGATAACAAATGGGTTGGTTGGAGAGCTCAGTTGGTTCAACGTTAGGTCGGCCCGCTAAAGGCCTGGCTCCCTTGTTGCCGATACTTTGTACCACCATGTTATCGCAAGGCTAGAGCGGACGTTAAACTCATATTCCACAACCACAATATAACAAAAGATGGAAATTTACAATTAGTTTATTTCACATTTTCAGAAGTCTAGATTTTCCTCGGGTTCTGAATCTCATATCTCACTGGGGCTCCTTTCAATTAAAAGGAGTTATTTGTTTCTATCAAAATTATTTATTTTCAGGGAATAAGCGTCAGTCTTATAGTTTGTATTGACCATCAACCTATGTTGCTGTAGAAGTAACCAATGGCTGACAGATCAGGGTCTGATGTCTCGCCGACTCTTGTGGATGCTGTTACGTGATGCGGGGCGTTTTGACTTTCTCTGGACGTTTTGACTTTCTCTGGACGAGGATCAACCGCAGCTGCCTGTTCTTTCGGCATCCTGTCACAATAAATACTATTTAAGAGATGTTTACTACTGGTTACTGCAGGTAACAAGAGCTGTTGTAGGGGTGAGGTGTAATGGGGTTTAACGTCACGTCCAAGATTATTGCACTCATATAGCGACGTGCATGCACATGTGTGTGTGTGTGTGTGTGTGTGTGTGTGTGTGTGTGTGTGTGTGTGTGTGTGTGTGTGTGTGTGTGTGTGTTTGTACTGGTCTGGACCTAAATGTCAATTTTATTGTCCTAGCCCTCTCAGATACCATGCCACGGTTTAACATGAATACCTCACTCAGACACAGTATACTGACTCCGAGCCGACCATTCCTTGTGTTAGCCCCTTAATGTCGAGCGCCAGGCAGGGTAACAACAAGTACCATCTTTTCACGTCTTTTGGTATGACGCGGCCGGAGATCGAACACCGGACCTTCCGCTGTCCGTGCCGACGCTCTACCACTAGACCACAGAGGTGCTCAAGCTGTTGGTGGAGCGTAGGTGATTTAATTTCACTGAAATATACAACACATTCAAGTGCCACACCCGAACCAGTGCCTGGCAGCCCTAGTTTAGTATCCAGCTGTAATAATCTGAACAAGACTACCTAGTGATCGATATTTGTAAGTATCGAGCTTCGCCGTCGAGGTAGCAAGGCATACGGAAGATACTTTTTGTGATGAAAACGTGTGGCCTGCGGGGCTTAAACCCGCATCGTATGATTTGAGGGCGTGTGATAGTCGAAGTCACATGACATTTTATTGATTTCACAACGTTCTATTTTCAAATATTTGTACAATGCTTAAAAGCTTAGACACTAATAGTACAATGTTGTATTTCATCATATTAACCCAATAACGATGTTCGAGCAATTAGATCTGCTGAAAAAGTCAGATAAACTTTTATTTTTCATCCTTGTTTAGGGCTGTATCTCACCTTTAATCCCCATCAGCATATTCTTAAAACGTGGGAACGATTGATAAAAGTATTTAAGTGCCTGGCAAAAGAAAGAATACACTCATGTTTGATGGTGGCTAAAAAATAATTATTCGATGGAGATGATTATCATAGTTTTTTGGTGATTTTGGACGTTACGTTTGCAGTGTTTCGATGACTGTTTTCAACCTGGTAACGTTTTGGTAACTTTTGAAATTTAGTTTGGAAATCCGTTTGTCAAGTGTTTATTCCTTCGCCCGGCAGGTTAGTTTAGAACCCCGGGAAATCAATGCACAGAAATACAACGCATTCTACGTGCATCGTGCATCGTCACAAAGAAGAAACACTGCACTGATTTCTGGTTTATTTTTCAAATAATTTCCACACAAAATTTTGTCAAAGCCTAAAAGTGGGGATGTGTTTTTAAGTCCGAGAACGTCCGAGTATGTACCCCTTCAGGTATAGACAAATGCTCGGACTTTCTTTTAAACATAACATATTTATTCCCATGTGGAATAAACACAAACGAAGATTTACTATAAAAAAAAATTACAATAATAATCCCCATGTCCAAGCGTGTATGTAGACTTTTAGAGCATGTGTTGAAAATGTTAATGGGACTTGTGTATGGTAGAAATTAAGAAGATGCATTTATAAACAAATTCCTATTCATGAATTTTCAAATAAAGGAATAAATGTGCCTTACCATTACTTTAGACCTCACAAAACATTCCTCGCATGACTCCCTCATGCATGTTGCTAACATGGGGATTTGACCACACCAATCTGTGATAATCTCCCTTCTTATAAAGATTCACATGAAATTGGCACTTGATCCAAAATGAAACATAACATTCAAAACCAGGAAATTAAAATAACATCCTAACCATTTCAAGTATTTAATATTGTATTATACTGTTATAATATGCAATACACAATTTGTGGACATACTAAAAACAGATTTTATACCTCCTTTACCAATTAAGCTATCATAATTGATAGAAAATGGAAATAAACATTTTCACCACAACAGTAACATAAATGCAAAGGATATAGTCTATATTTACAGGCAAAGCTGGGGAGGGTTAAACACCACGCCTTCTTGACATTCATGTATGCCGTACATTCCATGTATGTATAGAAGTATCTACCCATATGACATTAATCAAGTCTGGATCAAGCAGAAAATGGCCAGAAACAGTACATTACTCATACCATATAGTCCGTGCCCCTTATGTATTGATACATTGATGTCAGCCGATACATCACCTCACGATGTGTGAAATATGGTTGAAGCTAAAAAGCCATGCTTGTTTGATTTATGTAATCTTATGTGGAACAGGCAAATACTAAAGCTGGGATTTTTTATAATTCAATCCTCAATATATACAACTGTAAATGTACTCAAAAACAAACTTACCTGTGATCACATAAATATATTTAAAACTGAACAGTATACATAATTATGCCATGACCTCAACGACTTTCCAACGATCACATCAAGATTCCCCTCCCTTTGAAATTGACGTATATTGTAATTGGAAATTGAAATAACCAGACATATTACCATAATCTGTGTATATTTCATATACTAAAAGATGGGCAGAATTAAATATTATAATTAATACTTGAAAAAGCAGTAAGTACAAGGGTCATATTTATCCCAATTGAACTACAATACAGAAGTTCTGACAAAATCACAATATTGTAAATTTAAAAAATTACCACAATTAGGTGTTTTTGAGTAAATATAAACTAGAAAACCTAGATTATCCATGGCATACAAGGTGTACCTATTCATATATACTTACCCAGGCCTGGTAGGGGTTTAAGTTGTGTTCCTGGTGACGTGGTGGTGGGATGCAGTCAGGAGAGGAAGCTTACCCGAGCTACATTCGTGACCAACTCGTGTTATTACGGGACAAGCCGAGACGAGTGGTGACGAATGACCCGAGCTAGTTTCGGAGTCATGTGACCACCAAGCCATGGAATGCGTGGAAAGAGAGTGATGCTAAAGAAGGCCAAGCTTTAGACCAGATGAGCAGGCAACTGACCATACGATACTCGCTCTGATAATATGGCCAAGCTTGATACTCAGATGGCCCAAGCTTTAAACTGGAATGAAAAATGAACAAAACTGGAATGCAGCTGATGACATGTAACTTACTTACTTTTAATAGTGTGAGTATATCATGTATTATTATCATGTAAATGATGTGATGTGTGACACTCTCGCACTCTCCCAAGTTTGTGGGCAAGGATGCCCCAGTCCTATAAGGCGCCGCAATTCACTGTGCGGAGTTGAGTCCCTGACATGCCCAAACCCTATGATTGTGGGTTCGAGTCCCGGTTAGACCCCCATTATGTTTCTCGGTTTGTGAGCACTATACACATGCTCGTGGGTTTCATCGAAGTGCTAGACGTCTGAGTACCTGAGGCTTAACTCCCACAATAACCTGACACGCTGTGGTATAACTGATATACTGTTCAAAGCGGCGTTAAAACCAATTCACTCTCTCGCTATTCTGTCACTATTTCCTGATTCACGCAATGCAATTATCGTTCACGTTTTATGATCATTCTCAGCATCGGGACTGACCAATGTCTGTGAGACATGGTGTTTTAGTTTTGCTTTTGTTTTGTTTTCTTGTTTGTTGTTTAACGCCGCAATATTCCAGCTATGTGACGGCGGTCTGTAAATAGTTAAGTCTTGATAAGACAATCCAGTGACCAATATCATGAGCATCGATCCACGCATTTGGGATACGGCCCCATGCATCAAACAAGTCAGCGGGCCTGCCCACCAGATGCCGTTAGTCGCCTGTAGAATAGGTCTTCAGCAACCGATGCTTGCCGTAAAAGGGGACTACGCTTGGCGCAAGAGGTGACTAACAGGATCGGGTGGTCAGGCCCGCTGACTTGGTTGATGCATGTCATCGTATCCCAATTGCGTGGATCGTTGCTCATAATGTCAATCACTTGATTGTCTGGTCCAGACTCGATTTATTTACAGACCGCCGTCATATAGCTGGAATATTGCTGAGTGCGGCGTTAAACAACAAGCAAATAAACAACCAAACAAACAGACAAACGTTAGTCGCCTTATTACAAGCATGGGTTGCTGAAGACCAATTCTAACCCGGACCTTCACGGGTCAGGTGTTTTGGTTGAATTTGCGACAAAATCCAATCACTCGCTGAAACCTATGAAAGTTAACCGAACCTTGCCTGTATTTCAATACATTCGTGAAACACACACACGCTGCTTTCAAGAAAGTAACATAGTTGTTACTTATCCTACATTACTCCTAAATGCATCCCTTAGACGTAGTAATGCAGGATAAGGATACAAATGTAAAATATATTTAGGTTTTACCATAATTGCCATGTTAGTGAGGTGTTGATAAACGAGACTTTTTGTAACATCTTTTTTTAATAGAATCTGTATAACTATTCAAGGAGATGCATCAAGAGACACCAGTGGCTCACTCGACTAAAACGTTGCCACTCATTCTGCACAGTAAGGCGCTGCCACTCACTCTGCACAGTGAGGCGCTGCAGCTCACGCAAGGCTCTAACAGTAGTAAACCGTACCCTGGTATCCAAGCCAGCAGGAGTTATCTCCCCTACCGGAAGCGCCGCTATCTTTGATTGGCAAAGAGGGGCATGCTGGGTGATGCGTGCGCATCCAAGATGGCGTCACCTCCGTTTCCGGGAGGGCGTGCGCATGCCTTCAAGATGGCGTCACGTCCGGTTCCGGGGAGGAGGAGAACATAAGAAGCGCTCCTAAATGAAAAAAAGAATTGAAAAAAAGGAACAAAAGCGCACGTACAATCCTCCGCTTTCATTTTCAAAAAAGCGCAAAAGGTGGTTGAGGAGGGGGGGGGGGGGGGGAGGAGGAGGAGGTTTTTTTTGGTTGTGGTTGGTAGGTAAAGCAATGATGAAAGCGTTCTTTCGGGAGAGTGGGGTGGCCCTGAAAAGAGCCGTTGGAAACAAACTGGAACGGGAACGGGAACGGAACTGGAGACAGGAACAGAAACTTTATCCTAGAGCCCATCTTCTCAGGCGCACGCCGAAATGAAAGCCAACGAAGCCCGCATTGGCCATCTCTTCAGCGGTCTGGTTCATCTGCATCGGCCAACCCTCAAACGAGGCTAGCCTTCTTTCAAAGTGTAGATAATGGGGCGACGGTGGATTACTGGATGGCGGCGTCGGTTGCCTACCATGACAAGCATCTGTAGTACACTCAGATGTGTCCCCACAAGTATCCGTACCCTCACTCCTGGGTCCACAAGAATCCACTCTACCATCTTCTACTGCCATTCAGATCGGGTGGAAAATTGCTCTTTCCTTTGTGCCGAAACCCAGTCACAGGCGTCTTGTGAGCACACGGGCGAAGAGAGGGCCTGGTTGGGTACGTACACCACCCTAGAAGTCAAAGAAGTCTTGAAGCAGTGAGGCTACAAAGTGATTCAGATCTAAGAAGCTTGGCATTTCGACACCTTTGACACGTATAACCCCGAGAACCAGGAAGGGGGACTCTTTGCCCGTTATGACGACCATTTTTTCAGTGGATACCCTGAGGGTTGTACCGATCCCGATGCTTACGTCGAAGACATCTATCAGAAAGAAGGCATCGTCCTGAACAAGGCCAACATCAAGAAGAACCTAGGACTTCGCGCTCTTAAGTCTTAAGTCGCACCGGGGCAAGTTTGGTCAGCGCTTAGGCTATGGTGAGACAGCGTATATCAGCGATCCTGCTCTGTTGAGAGATGAAAGAAATACCATCAACGATGGCATGGTCATCAACGAACATGTGGTGTTGGTGAACTATACCCCCAAGAAAGAATTCCACACGCCACATCCTAAATCCAATGTCGCCGTGGCTGCTTGGGTCATCACACAAGCGTGTCTCAAGCTGTACAGCATCCTCAAGCCGTTGGATCACAGGGTCTTGTACTTCGACACGGACTGTGTCATTTACGTCCATCGTCCAGAGGAATAAAATCCACCCCTGGGGGATACGTTGGGTGATTTAACAGGCGGAAACATTATCAAGACGTTTGTGTCAGGGGGTCCCAAAAACTATGCCTGTGAGTTAATGCACCCAAGACCCGATGGAACGCGCAACACGACCTGAAAGTGCGCGGTTTCACCTTGAATTACAGAGCCCGTCAACACCTCAACTTTGACACCATGAAAGGCCTGATTGTTGGACAACGGTCTGGGGATAACATCATCAGGGTGCATCACCCTCATCGGATCATCCGTGCAGGACTTCACCACGGGAACGATCTCCTGACCCAAGCCACCACAAAAGACTACCGCATCGTCTACACCAAGCGGCGCATCCTCTACAGCACAAGCACAGGTCTGCCTGTAGACACGGTCCACTTTGGGGCCAGAGACTAGATCATTTTTATGCCACTCACTCTGCATAGTAAGGTGCCGCCATTCACTCTGCATAGTAAGGCGCTGCCACTCACTCTGCACAGTAAGGCGCTGCCACTCACTCTGCGCAGTAATGCGTTGCCACTCCCTATTTATAGTAATGCGCTGCCACTAACTCTGCACAGTAATGCGTTACCACTCCCTATTTATAGTAATGCGCTGCCACTAACTCTGCACAGTAAGGAGCTGCCACTCAATCTGCACATTAAGGCGCTGTCACTCACTCTGCATAGAAAGGTGCTGCCATTCACTCTGCACATTAAGGCGTTGCCACTCACTCTGCACAGTACGGCGTTGCCACTCGATCTGCACATTCAGGCGCTGCCACTGATTCTGCACATTAAGGCGCTGCCACTCACTCTGCATAATAAGGCGTTGCCACTCACTCTGCAGAGTAGAGCGCTATCACTCACTCTGCATAGTAAGGCGCTGTCACTCACTCTTCACAGTGAGGCGCTGCCACTCACTCTGCACTTCAAGGCGCTGCCACTCACTCTGCATAGTAAGGCGTTGCCGCTCCCTCTGCACAGTGAGGCGCAGCTACTAACGTAAGGCGCTGCCACTCAATCTGCACAGTAAGACGTTGCCACTCACTCTGCATAGTAAGACGTTGCCACTCACTCTGCATAGTAAGGCGTTGCCACTCACTCTGCATAGTAAGACGTTGCCACTCACTCTGCATAGTAAGGCGCTGCCACTCACTTTGCATAGTAAGACGTTGCCACTCACTCTGCATAGTAAGGCGCTGCCACTCACTCTGCATAGTAAGACGTTGCCACTCACTCTGCACAGTAAGGCGCTGCCACTCACTCTGCAGAGTAGAGCGCTATCACTCACTCTGCATAGTAAGGCGCTGTCACTCACTCTTCACAGTGAGGCGCTGCCACTCACTCTGCACTTCAAGGCGCTGCCACTCACTCTGCATAGTAAGGCGTTGCCGCTCACTCTGCACAGTGAGGCGCAGCTACTAACGTAAGGCGCTGCCACTCACTCTGCAGAGTAAGGCGCTGCCACTCACTCTGCATAGTAAGGCGCTGCCACTCACTCTGCATAGTAAGGCGCTGCCACTCACTCTGCATAGTAAGGCGCTGCCACTCACTCTGCATAGTAAGGCGCTGCCACTCACTCTGCATAGTAAGGTGCTGCCATTCACTCTGCATAGTAAGGCGCTGCCACTCACTCTGCATATTAAGGCGCTGCCACTCACTCTGCATAGTAAGGCGCTGCCACTCACTCTGCATAGTAAGACGTTGCCACTCACTCTGCATAGTAAGACGTTGCCACTCACTCTGCATAGTAAGGCGTTGCCAATCACTCTGCATAGTAAGGCGCTGCCACTCACTCTGCATAGTAAGGCGTTGCCACTCACTCTGCATAGTAAGGTGCTGCCATTCACTCTGCATAGTAAGGCGTTGCCACTCACTCTGCATAGTAAGGCGTTTCCACTCACTCTGCAATTTAAGGCGCTGCCCCTTACTCTGCATAGAAAGGTGCTGCCATTCACTCTGCATAGTAAGGCGCTGTCACTCACTCTTCACAGTGAGGCGCTGCCACTCACTCTGCACTTCAAGGCGCTGCCACTCACTCTGCATAGTAAGGCGTTGCCGCTCACTCTGCACAGTGAGGCGCAGCTACTAACGTAAGGCGCTGCCACTCACTCTGCAT